GGGGGTCGAGCTGCAGCCGGCCGGCACAGGCGGGGCCCCGGGAGGAGCCGCGGTGGGACTCCGGGGGGGCCGCCGCCACCTGAACACGGGAAGGACGGGAGAGGGATGCTTAAGTTTCCTTCTTTCTTTTCTTTAAATAAAGATAGCAAAGCCTGGCGCGCAAACCGTCCCGCCACCGGTTGGGCGCCCCCCGGCCGGTCCCGGTCCCCGTCCCCCCCGTCCCGCCACCCGCCCCCGTCCCGCAGCGACGGGGAAGGGTGACACTCACGGATCTTGACTTTGCGGTGGTCGAGGCGGGCGAGGAGCGCTTCCAGGGCGCCGAGGCGGCGCTGGAGCCGGGCGTTGCGGTGGCAGAGGGAGTCCGCCTCGCTGAGGATCCCGCCGAAGATGTCGCCGGCGCAGCGGGAGAGGTCGGAGAGCTGCATCAGCAGCGACACCAGCGCGTACGAGCTGACCTGCTCCAGCGCCCCGAAAAGCGGCACCGCGCCGCGGCGGCGCCCGCCGCCCCCCTCCGCCGCCCCGGCGTGGTCCCCCGGCGCCGGGCCGCCCCGCTCCGCGCCGTCCCCGCCGGCCTCCTCCAACCTGCACAGCTTCAGCGGCTCCAGGGTCCGCAGGGGGAACGGCATCGCGGCGGGGGGAAGGAGGGCAGCGCCGGGCACGGTGGCAGGGCGAAAAGGGGGAAGGGGGGGGGGGGGGGGGGGAGAGAGGAGAGAAACTAGGCGTCCCCGGCGCAAAAAGTCTTCATCCGCGCAGCGGCCGCGGTGACAAAAGTTCAGAAAGAGGAGAGAGAGAGAGAGAGAGAGAGAGGGAGGGAGAACAACAACAACAAATGAATCGGGGCGGGAGGGCGGCCGGGCTACGCGCTGCGGGGCCGGGGGGGAGCTGCCGCCGCCGCCGCCTCGGCGGAGGGGGAGCCCCGCGCGGCGCCCATGTGCGTGAGCGGCCCACGGAGGAGGGAGCGGCCCCGGGAGGGAGCGGGGCGGAGCGGGGCGGGGGGGGCCGGGGCCGCCGCCGCACGGCGGGAGCGGGGAGAGCCCGCGGCGGCGCGGCGCTGCGGCCGGGAGAGAGGAAAGAGCGCGGCTTTCGCTCCCCGAAGTGGGGTTGGGGGGGGAGGGAAGGTAAGCGTGGGAGGGGGGGCTGAAGCTCCCTGGATGCGGCCACAAAGGAGGGAAGCAAGCCAGGAGGGGGGGTTGGGGGGGCGGCGGGAGGAGGAGGGGAGAGAAAAGCCCGGAGCAGCCCCACCTGGGGAACCCCGCGCCGTTGCAGGCGCTTTTCTGAACGCACCAAACTCCCAACCCGGAAAGCGAGAGCTGGAAAGAGAGGAGGAGAGAGGGGAGGACAAAAAAAAAAAAAAAAAAAAAAAAAAAAAAAAAAAAAAAAAAAATAAAAAGCACACCAAACCTCCACAAACCTGGGAAAAGAAAAAGAGGCCGCCGCCTACCTGTGGCTCCCCGAACTGGAGCCTCTGCCAGCGCCTCACCCTGCCCGGCCGGCTAACAGCCGCGCCCGGGCCGGCGGGGCTCCCCGCGGCCGCCAGCCCCCCCCGGCCCGGAGGAAGGGGCCGAGCAAGGGCCGGGGCAGGTCGCGGGGGGGAAGGAGAACAGCCGGCCTGGGAAAGGCGAGTGCGAGCGGAGCGCTGCTTGGGGTTAATTTTTCGTAAGGTTGTCGCTAAGGTAGGAAAAGCAAAGTCTGAACCGCGCAGCGTGACATCGAGTGTGGCCGCTGCCCCAGCACGCTGTCAGTCCTGGCGTGGGTTGAAGGCAGGTCCGAGCCCCCGAAGGCCCTGCGCTTTGCCCGTGAAAGGCTCAGTCAGCTCTTCAGCGAGATGATTGCTCTAATGGGCTATTCCCCACAGAAACAATTTAGCCTACTAGCAACTGTCAACAGCTGCTATTTAATTTTAATTGGACAATGCCCCACTGGCTCTGGCTCCGGGTATATGATAAAGAGAGGAACCCAACCCCTCTCTTCTTGTGGAAAAGGGCCCTGGGGAAAAGCGATTGTATGGTCCCTTCCCGCCCCATAACCTGCTCCTGCTGCCTCTGCAGCTGATGCATCTGTGTGATGAAAAAAGGAGAATCAGCTGGAGAAGGAAGGATCCCGGCACAGATCCACTGCGCCCTTCCAGTAGCATCTTGGGGACACGTCATTTATAACAAAATATTCTGCATCATAGTAATTCTCATATGTAGTTACTTACAGGAAGCCTGAAGAAAACTATTCCACACCAGTAGTGTTTCAGAAGCTCCTCGGTGCATGGAGGAGCCTGGGGGCAAGGCCGCAGAGAGTGGAATACAAACCAAAGGCTCCATGGTACACCCAAGGGTTGAGATCTACGGGAAACACATTTAGGGGTGATACTCATATGCAAAAATTGCAAGTCACTAATTATTCTCACACATTAATCAAGAAAAGTCATCTTCAAGTTTTCCGGGGGGGGGGGGGGGGGGGGGGAGCGGAGGGGACAAAGAAAGGCAGTGCAATCTAGTGTTAAAAAAATAAAGAAAAAAAACACCTTCCAAGCAAGTTAATGGATAAATTTGCAACTTGGAATACAACTTTGATTGTCTGTTACAGACAGTACCACTGAGTGCATATGTGCAAGGGCTGTAGAAACTGATGAGAAGAACATGGTGCAAACAGGCTAAATGGTGTTTAATCAGGGGTTGAAGCACATAAGGAATCCTAAGCAATCATCTTGTGACAGGGAAGCTGTCAGGGTTGATTAACAGAGAGTGGAAGGCAGTCATTCTCTCTTATTTAATTCTTCTGGTTTTATTCTGGGACATAATGTCTTCATTAGTTCTTAAACATGTTTGTTTGTGATAGTCATTTGATAAAAACTATGGCCTGTTTGAATGGAGAGGAGTGTATGTTTGTATGTTTTGTTTAAACACAGGAGTATCATGGGAAAACTAAGTATGAAATGAAATTAAATATAAAACACAGTAGGAAGAGAACAAGCGAAGAGCTCATTTCAGGTGTCAGCTGAAACGAACCCACAGCACCATATCTGCTGGGATAGATCATAAGCTCATGAGTGTGTTTGAGAATCACTCATTTTTATTTTGAAGTTTTAGTAATAGGTAGTTTTAGAAAGATACACTTACCAGTCTAATATCCTTTCTGAAAATTCAGATCAAATACTGATATTGCAAATATTTTTGCATGTTCTTATCTGTAAGCAGGAAAAAGTATTTAAAACAGATGTGAGTGCAGGGAGAATAATAAGAAGAAATCAAAACTTTAGGCAACATCTAAATGCAGTAAAGAGCCTCAGCTACTGGGAGTGAGTGGAATTTCACTGCAAATGAGTCCTACTTTACTTATTTCACTGGTTCCTGTGTTTGCAAACTGTAAAATGAATTACTGTGACAGCTTGAATATTTCTGGTGGGAATAATGTCTCATAAAAAATAAGGCCTTTGTAGGACTGGCAGTTAAGCCAAGTTAAGAAGTAAATCTAAATTTTAAATGCACTGACATTTTTGTAACATTCCAGGTCTATCTATTTACTCCAGAATGATACTTTTTTCTCATTAATTTACTTGGGTTATTTTTCTGAGATGGGCTGTTACTATATGGAATACTTAGAAAAAAACAGGTGTGAAAAAAATGCAAATATTGAGTGTGAACATTGGTTAACTGAAGCTGGTAAAGGATGGTCTCAGAGCTTGTTTCTTCCCAGGCAAAAGGAAGGGACATATGAAGGGAAACGGAACTTAAATACTTACACAGTTGGAGATTGAAAGTATTCATCATGCTGGAAAGGAAGCATTTAAAATTTCTAAGTTCAGTAGAAATACCGACTTTCTTAGGGACACCTCATTCCCCTCAGATACCTATGCATATTAACTTCAGGCAGTTAAGGCTGGAAAACATTTCCATTTCTGGCAGCGCTGTGAGGATGCTTCTGCCTCTTTTTGGCTCAGGGGAGCGCTGGGGCGAGGCGGGCACTGCTGGGGGGCAGTGGCGGTGATTGCCCCGGTGCCTGTCCCCGCCACCCGGCAGGCCACTGCCCTTGGCTGAGCCGTCCCTGAGGCTCACGGCCCCGTACATTCACCTCAACACAGTTTGTGGCCGTCGTGGTGTGGGAGCGGTGGGAGCGAGAGGCTGCTTTCCATTTAGCCGCGTCTGCTGGAGAAGAAGGCCTGTGAGCTCAGTGGGCAGCTTGTGCAGCTAAGCCTGGCAGAGCTGCGACCCGACGTTCTGGGTCTCACACCTGCAAATACCCTCAGTCAGGAGTGGGAGATCCTCTGAGAAGAGGAACAGAGCTTAGAAAACTGAGATGCAAAGGAGGAAGTCAGACAAAAGGGCAGCAGAGGCTTTACTAAATATTTAAAGTCAGTATTGATTTCATTTTTAATGAAAGTTCAAAGTTCACTGGGAAGTTCATTACATCTGAATTGTACCTTTCTTCCTTCGGCATGTTAAACCTCAAGTTAAATCACCAAATTAAGGACCTAATAGCTTTCATGTTCTGTTTTAAGAAACAGAAGATAAGTCTTGTGGGAGTTACTCATCACCTATCGCAGAATGAATGCTGCTCTTCCCTTGGCTTGCTTCTGCAAACTGTTTGGGTTCTCAGAAGCAAATAGCGAGCAGTAGTACAAAAGCCATGTGGCCAACCATGTAACATCAGGCAGCTCTTCCTGAAACTGTACTTACGTGCCAAGAGGGTAGTTTAGATGTGGTCAGCTGGGATGGCCAGGCTCATCCATTGTAGCCTAGCCCACAGATTCAAGCCATATGCCTGTGTAGGCTAGGAAAACCTGACCAAGTTGATACGCAGAAATAAACAACAGTACAATTTGGAGGGATGGAGGAGGACATTTCTTGGTTGCTTCCAGAGCAGCGCTAACGAGCTCTGGTTTGTAATTTAGAAAGCAAGCTCAATGTTCTGGTCACATAGTCAGCTTCTGTATTTTTGGATTACTTTGGCTGTTGAGTTGTAGAAGTTTGGTGTAGTCTTAAAATAGAGGCAATTCTGCAAGAGAAGGATGTTTTCTGACATTTTATTCTTTCCTGGTTAACCAAAAGTATGTGGATGCTCCCAGTCTTGCTGGGTCACTGGGCTCTTTCAATCATCGTACATTTCATTTCTGTCTTCAATAGAAAACCTTTTTCAATTAAACCTTCATAAGATAGGCAGAAAATGAGCACAGATCTGACTTCTAACAAAGTTAAATGGCACCAGAATTTCACCCATTTCTTTTAGGGTCTGCCCCTCATGACTGCCTACGTTTTGTGCTGTATATAAATATCATGAAATGATCAAATTAACTACCACAGAAAAAAATACAGTTGTTTTGCTGGGTTTCTTTAAATTAACACTCTACTATGTTAGACTGAAGATCACCTTTGCCTGACGATGCAGCAAAACTTCCATTCATTACTTTTCCTCCAGCTCACCAATGCCAGGAACTGGTATTTTTGTGTACTGGAATTCATATCCAGCATGGCCCCAAAGACTCCATCTTCATCCCGAAAATGAATATTGTGCATATTCTTTTAAAACTAGTAGCAGAACTTCTCTGATGATGACATGCATGTCTTGGACATGGGTTGCTTACAAAGTCCTATTCCCCTGGACATTCATAATCTCAAACTTCTGTCAGCCCCAGGTTCTCCTTGTCTGGTTTATCCCTGAGTCATGCACCTGCCTGAAGCCTGTAGCTGAGCTCTCTTTTCTATTTAGTCCTGTAATATTTTTGCTGTTTTTCTTCACTATGTTATCTTCACCATTAAACAAAGGCTGCAGTGTAATTCCAACACCTTCATCCCTGTTATTCAAAGTACTTGGCAGAGGTATCCACACTTTCATAGTAGATGAGTTTAATATTCTCTTGAGTATCTTAAAGATTAGTGGTTTGTGGCACCAGTCCCAGTGATTTTTCTGTCCCTGCTGTCTTTTCTTAGTCCTAACATTAAGCTAAAACTAATTCTTTGAGTCTATCCAGCTTGTGGTTTAGACCTCGGGTTGTTCTGCTAGCTGGTCCCTGAGCTTTTCAGAGCTACAGAGCTCTGCATATCTACACAAGTGCAAGAGTCAGCACACTACATTCTGCCAGCCTAAAATCTCTCAAACCCTTCCTCATTTTTCTATCTTTATACAGTTATCTTTCTTTGCACAAAAGCCATGCTAGCAATGGTGCAATGAACAATCAAAACTAACAGCAGTAGGCATGACACCATGGAGGAAGAAGTATAGTTGTGATGGCCTAAGGATATGATTCAGCAACACACCAACCAGGCATAACAGCTCTTTTCCATTAAAAGAGGAGCTCTTCCACCCCTGCTTCCTTCCTTCCATTCCTGCTCACAGGTGCATGGTCTGTAGCTTGCTCTGCAATCATCTGAAGTCCTCAGTGTAGAACTGCTGCATGAAGTGAGGCAGCTGATGTGCTGTGAAGAAATTGCAAGAAAATATACTCTCTGCACTTCAAGACACAGCAGCATGCTTGATTATTCTCCGGGGAGCAGAACAGTGGGGGAAAAACTAGGCTGTGACTAGAAACACATGCAAGAGATCATAAAGCCTATGAAAACATCACCATAGCATTACAGCCCCCTCAGAGCTCAAAGCACATCGTGATTGTAAGAGGCTTTTAGTCCTTGTGTTCAGTGGACTACAGTGCAAAGAGAGGACTGTCAATCACTAGGGCAGTGTGGGTCTGAGAGACAATCTGCCTTTAGGACTCCAGTTCTCCCCATAGAGAAACCAAGTTGCTGAGAAATTATCTCAGTGGCTCATTAATACTACTCCTGGAGCTGCCATACCAATTTTCTTCATCTGGTTGAGGCATTTCTGCATCTTTTAACAAAGTGCATTCCTCATTTCCACTTACTCTGTGACAGAAAAAACTTTGGCTACGTTGTTTTTCTAATTGATAAAGTGTTTAAGTTTCTGCTTCACAAGCACTTCAGACGTCTAAATATCATGGAATCACAGAACCAAAAAACGGTTTGAATTGGGAGGAACCTTTAAAGATCATCTGGTTCCAGCCCCCCTGCCACGGGCAGGGACACCTTCCACTGGACCAGGTTGCTCAAAGCCCCGTCCAGCCTGGCCTTGAACCCTTCCAGGGAGGGGGCAGCCACAGCTTCTCTGGGCAACCTGTGCCAGTGCCTCACCACCCTTATAATGAAAAATGTCTTCTTTATATCTAATATAAATCTAATCTAAGTCATGTATAATTATTCATTGTTACTGAGTTACGCAGCTACAGGTATGCATACAGCAAGTGACTGTAGGGCAGGAATATGGGTGTCATTATATCTGAAAGAAAACATACATCTGGAAAAACAAAGGCCAGAGGAATTATCAGCTGAAACTCAGACTCAACATATGGAGATTTCATAAATGTTGAACAAAGTCTTTTGTTGCTGTCCCTAGCTTTAATGAGAACAGTTTGTGGTGAAAGCTTTTGTAAATTCCATTTTTATTTATCTAAGACACTGACCACATTTATGTCATCTCTAATTGTGTTATATGTGGTCTCTTTTGAAGTAATTACACAGTTTACATTTCGAATCTTTAACTAATTATCATCACAAAAAAACCTGAAACGGTTTGAAAAACAATTCAGTTAAACAAGACTTGAAATTGTGTTCTTTTAACAATGCTGATTATCTTCACAAATGAATGCCTCAAGACTTAGGGCAAACAATATGTCCAACGGACAGGAGCCTCTTATATCGCTTCCCAAACTTGCAGCCTGTGCTGGTCACTAGAGCAGAGCTCAACTTCTCCTTAGATATTAGCTCCTCACCATCAGTCACTACAGCTGCAGCAAGGTACTTGTTTAATCTATATATATATGAAATTTAAAAAAAATATGCCACCCTATTTTGTTTCAGTTGATGCGCTGATGGATGGCATACCAGTCAGTCACAAATTATTTTTGACATGTTGCAGCAGCTTCTGCCTCATAAACAAAATACAGGCTTTGGCCACTGAAAAAACACAGGGCATGATAAACCATATATCAACCAACACAGATTTCCCCATTCTCTTCTTTGAGAGTGAGCATGGTTTGTCACTGTGATCTCCATCACAGTTGAACGAGTCACTGGTGAAATTGTAGCGCTACAGTGTGCAGCAATCTGCTACTGACTCCACCACTGTCTAAACTCACCTCTCTGTTTTTTAAGAGGTTTTGGATACTTCTTGAAATTTTCAGATTTAAAAAAAGAAGACAAAATATTTTCTAAATATATTTAGTATACTATCCATGTTTTGGACACTTACAGAATGCCAGAAAAAAATTTTTTGGCTTTAAGATGACTTTTAAAAATATTCATTTGGGAAGAATCTACCACTGTGGTAGGTCATTAAAGGTCTCTGTCTGCCTTGTTTATGTTCCTCTGCTTAATTTAATCTACCTGATGATGTGTAGGGATGAGATCCAATGTGTTTATTCTGCAAAGCTCAGTGTTTCTGTTTATATACCCAGTCAGTCTCAGAGACTGGCATATTGCTAATAAATTCTAATAAAGTATTTTCTAATTCCAAAATAATATTTTGGAAGGCTGACAGTAAGGGAAAAGCTATGGCTATCTAGAAATTACACTGAGTAGTAAAGTCTGCACTACATGGAATAACAGTTGAGGATCTATACACACCCCCAAATTAGGAAACTCAAAGCAATACCTGTGATGGCTGGCATGTTTGCATTTTCTAAGACCTGTGCAGTGGTAGTACCACTGCTTTACAACCAGTGTAAATTATCTGAATTACTGATGTTGCAGAAACATTCATATTAGAATATTTAATTTATACAAACACAATCTTATATTAAATTTAAAATAAATTGACAGTGATATTAGAGAAAGTAAAGGAAATTAGGATTTTTATCACATACTGCTCTCTGAATATTCCCAAAAGTTTGTGAGTACCAAATATGTGATTATGCAATCACTGTAATAAATACAGCTGTGTTTATTTCATTGCATAGATCAGACAAACTACAAGCTAAGCATCAGCGTCTTGTTCATAAATCAGTAAAAAAACTGTAGCACAGTGTGCAAGATTTACTCAGACCTTCTCTCTGTTCCAAGTGTTTTCAGACTTGGCAGAGTACGCATTCCTTAGGGGACTATGAATATGCTGAGTTTTAATCATTTCTAGCAAAATCAGGTTTTAGTTAGTTCAGGAAAAAAACATATAAACACTTTACTTAATAGCTTAGGAATTAACTTTTAACTACAGTGAAATACAGCTAAAAAAGTTCTGTTTAGCTTTTCTTAAAAGTGGGGTGAAAGAAAGTATAAAGGATTTAAGCCTATGTCCTATTTCAGAAACAGCTTCTTTAGAAGAAAAAAAATGTTAACAGTATTTGAGCCTCCTTCCAGGAGTCTCCCTTTATGGTCTGTTTCCAAAAGTTTCCAAATTTAATCCCTCGTTGTACATATATGGAAAAAACAAAACAAAACAAAAAAAAATTCCAAACAAAATAAAAAACCAGTCTCACAATGATACCACTTTGGTTCTTTAATGCTGTGCTGGGTTTGTGTGAGTGACGGGGTTTTTTTGGTGGCAGGGGAGGGGGCTATAGGGGTGGCCCCTGTGAGAAGCTTCTCGAAGCTCCCCCAGCTCCAAGTCAGACCCACCTCTGCACCAAGGTCGAGCCAATTAGCAACGGTGGCTGCATCTCTCTGAGAACGTATTTAAGAAGGGACCTGGGAGGAGGAGGGGGAACTGTGGGGAGGACTTGCGACATCTATGTGAACACCAAGGTCAGTGGAAGAACAAAGGAGGAAAAGGGCGGGGGAGGTGTGCTGGATCAGAGACCCCCCCTGTATCCTGTGGTGAGGCAGCAGGGCCACCCCCGCTGCCACCCATGGAGGCCCCACGGTGGAGCAGAGGCCAACCTGCAGCCTGTGGAGGAGCCCACACCAGAGCAGGTGGCTGCCCAAAGGCAGCCAGGACCCTGTGGGAGGAAGATCCTGCCGTGTAGTTCGGTGCTGGGAGGACTGCAACACGGGGGGGTGTCCCACGCTGGAGCAGCTCGGGAAGGGCTGTGGCCTGTGGGAGGGACTCATGTCAGAGAAATTTTGTGGAAGACTGTCTCCGCGAGAGGGGAGCCACATGGAGCAGGGGAAGAACGCGAGGAGTTCCCCCCCTCCTTCTGAGGGGAAAGAAGCAGCAGGACTGATGGCACCCGCCGTCCCCTGCCCCCTGTGCACTGGGGAGGAGGAGGAGGCAGAGAAACTGAGAGCAGAGCTGAGCCCAGGAAGAAGGGAGGGGTGGGGGAAGGAGTTTTTAAGATGTGTTAATGCTTCTCGCTGTCCTACTGTATCTGTTAAGTGTTGTCATTATTAGTGTCCGAATTAAATCTATGTTCTTTTTTCTTCCCCTAAAGAGTCTCTCTTTTGCCCGTGACCATAATGGGTGAGTCATCCCTCCCTGTTCCTATCTCAATTCCTGAGACTTTTGTTTTATTCTCTCCTTTCTAGAGTTGGGGGGGAGGAGGGGAGTGAGCAGCTGCGTGGTGCTCAGTTGCCTTCTGAGCATAAACCAATTTTTCTGTGCTTTGTATTTAATGACAGTTATAACTGCAGTTTTGATACTAATATAATTATTGTGATCTACAACCAAAACTTGTAAATGCATATAGTCAGTTATTTTCCACTGAAGTCTATCACTTTTTACTATGCTTTCCCTATAGTTGTTTTTTAAATATACTTTGATAAGGTCTCATTTAAACCTGTTATTCTATTAAGATTAAAGAAAATCTTAAAATAGAAGTCTTTTCACTAATATCTACTGTACCATACTACAATTATTAAGTTATATAGTTGCCTTCAGAGAAACAGTGGTACTCGCATGCCCACTGTATTTCATCATGTATTTAAGCCTTAAATATTTTGCCACAGAGGTCCTCTTTATTGAACAGGAACATGATGCACAGAGTCACAGGTGTCCTATTTGGACCCGAGACCTCTTGCTGCTATTTCTTTTTAGTATTTCCAATGCAAAGGAAAATACTTCAACTATTTATCTTTTCCTTTGCTAATTAGAATTACTAGACTAAAATCATATTGAAAACTCTAGTATACCATTTAGCATATGCATTTCTTAGAAACAGTTTTCTGTACAAATATTTCTATGTACATTTATTCTCTTTAGGGAATGGATTTTTGTTTGGTTTTAGTTCTCCATTTGTATGTAACTAACAAAACAGTCTGAAATTACAAACACGCTTTCTGGGGTTTGTTTGGGAGAACTGACACGTAGTCAGTGGAACTTCTCAGCAATATATCTTCTAGCCTGGAAAAAAATTGTCACTTGATGCTTTTAAAACATCATGGCAGTTGTATTTATACTGAGCCATGAAGCTACAGAGGGGAAAGGGAATTAAATTTCCCAAGCAATACAAAGTGACTTAAGGCCAACTACAAATGTGACCAGGAAAAATTGCAGATGGCAAATAACTCACTGTCCTACTTTGATATTAGGGTAACAATCTGAGTTCTATTTCTAGGATATAATTATAGATTTCTGTAATATATTTCTATAATACAACTTTATTTCTATGAGAGCTCTATCTCATGCTCTTAGCACATTCAATAAAGGAAGTATACCTGCTTGCCTTCAGACTTCTTTGCAGGCATAAGCTTCACAAATCTTCTCACTTCGAAAAATTACTGGATTTTCTTGAGTTGAAGTTTCCAAATGAGGCCTATAATTTTGCATACAGAGTTTACCATTAAAAAAAAAAAAAAAAGTATAATCGAGTTAGTTTTATATTTTGTGGCTCAAGAAAAAAAAAATGACTTTTGCTTGGTTTTCTTGTAAGCCAAAGGATCCATCAACAAAATTCACCTACAGATTCTTTCCTGTAAGTGACAAATTCATCCTTGCCCCTAATGCCAACAGAACGCTTGACAAAAATCAGGATGCTGCTGTGCTTAAACCATGGCTGGTCATGCAGATCCAGGTTGTATAATTGTTTCCTTTTTTCTTTTTCCTCTTTTGCCTTGTATCCATCTCTTGTATGATCTTTGTGGTAGGAATTGCCTTTATTTGCTCTCTGAGTTTGAACAGTTTCACACCACTGGGATTCTTGGACATGACTGAAGATTCAGAGGTGTGTGCAGGTGATTATGTCCACAAGCCCATGTTTGTGCACGCTAGAGGTGAATCTGAAATTGCTTTGAAAAGTTAAACTTTACTTACAGGACCTTCCCTGGCATGCCCGGGTTACTCTGTACTAGCAATACTGTCAATGGCATTTCACAGAGACTGTGAATATTAGTTTCTCCTACTGACATTAAGTGTAAACACTGGCAAAGAAAATAAAACGATTTTTGTAGGCATTTAGCCAAACTATTAAAACAACTGAACAAGTATTTTATTTCAGTTGCTACCTTAAGACTGTTTTGGGTTTTGTTCATTTGTTTGTTTGTTTTTTCTTCAAGGACTTACTCCATTATGGTCCTCTTGTGATAAATTACTGAATGGTTTAAAACACAGGCCACAGAAAACAAAAGATGTACCTTGGGTTTTTGTGACATGAGCTGCATGTTCTATCTTGTTGTACTAAATTAATCATAAACTTTATTCAATATTTAAGTATTCAAAAGGGGAAAAGAGCAGGTGTCTGCCAAGAACAGGTGTTACAAATTTAAGGTTAAATAAAATGCAACAATCTTTTCCACATATTATTTCCATAATATATATCAGAAACCATACTCTCTGCTAATATGTCCTGAGCTGTGCAGAAGAGAAGCCTCTTGTCATATGTTTTCTGATCTGGTCTTGTTTCTAGAATTTACTTTTCACTTTGGCTCACGAGGGTTCAGTTTTGCTGACCTTGATGGAATTCTGTAAATATCATGCTGCCCATCTTATAGTGATTGTAAACATTACATTTACAGCGAGTAAGTCAATGAGTACCTGCAAAAATAATGTAGCAGGCTGCCCGAGGATGAAGGATTTGCCCAATATTTATTTTAGTTTATTTTGATTTATTTTAAAAGCACACATGAAATTCATCATTATCTACTACTGAACAGGCATGCAAGCTTTTGAGAGTGGTGCCATATTATCCAAGCCTTTTCTCGAGTCTATCAACAAGTCCTATGAATCTTGTGAGAAATATTATTTATGATAAAATTAGTGAAACAGTTTGGCAGATGGAATCATTTGATTATAATGTATTTTAACATGTGAACAAGCACTGTCCAAGCAAGACAATGGTGAGAGATGGAGATTAACAATCATCCTGCACAAAAAGTCTTTTCCCTCCCTGTTTTCCCTCCACAACATTTCCTTTAAGTGACTCACAGCCTTATCCTTCAGATAACCCTACTCTTTTTACAACATGCCAGCACCTAAAAACATGGAAAATGTTTTGAAATAATTCTAGAGAATACATTACACACTAGTGAACCACCAATGCATTTCTCGATAATCTTACTTCTTCATTTCTGACAGAGTGTGAAAAATTGGATTAGGTTTGGGACTATACTGGGTGTGCTGGCAGAGCCCATGATAGACTTTTTCCTTTTCCAGCTGGCATATGAGTGTTATTAAAACAACTGATGTACAGCTCCAAAGTGCTTTTTCCTTGAGGGATCTTAATGCATGTTACATATACTTAAACCAAATATTTAGAGGAAGACAGATGTAACTGTACAATAGCTTCTATATCTATTGAACACATATAGAATATTAACATGTTTTTATATAACTAAAAATTGTATAAGGAAAATCTTCTTCACTACGACTGTAATGCAGTACTAAAACAAGTTATCTGCAGGGGCGGTGGGATCTTAATTCCTGAAGGTTTGAAGGCCTGGCCAGACAAAGCCACAGCTGACCTGACAGGGCAGTGGCCCTGCTCTGAGCCAGAGGTTGTGCAACAGGACATTTGTGCAGTCTTCATCCTTGAAAGCTTTCATGACAGGCTGGATAAAGCCCTGAGAAACTTGGTCTGAGCACACAGTTGACCCTACTTGGACTTGGAGACCTCATGATGTCCCTTCCAACCTGAAGTATCCCATGATGTTATGACCTCAGAAGGTGCTTTCCAACCACTATTATTTTTGTGATACTGTGAATACGGAATCCAGACTAACTAGTGGACATGTTAATAATATTATTTCAACATAATTTTCCAGACATATAAAAGAAATCATGTGTTGGTTGATTTTTTTTTTTTTTTCTGAAGACCACAGCATAAGTCTCAGGGATCCATCCAGGAGCTGAAGAGAGAGCTGGAGACCCTTACCTTAGGCAGGGATTGAAAATCTCGTGCTGAGCTGAAATGGGGCTCCTGGGCCCATGGTCAGTGGGGTGAGGGGGGTCCCAGGTGGGATGGTCAGGGCCATTCAGGCCCTATAGGCCTAGTTCTTGGGGTGATTGCCACATAACATTGCTACGTGCATAGAAACTGCATCTGACTCACAAACCTGTTGGGAGATTGGAATGTACTCAGAGGCAGCATTGCATGTTTGCCAGCTTCTTAACAGTTTTTCTCAGGCATTTGCAATTGACTGTGCTGGAGTTAGTACACTGGGCTATATGGACCTTTGCTCTGACCAGCAGAGCTGTCTTTATAATTGGTGGAATTCATCAAAGCTCCCATAATAGGACAAATCAGCTTTCATTGCCAGGGATCTCCTAGGACCTAGGAGATCATCACGGTCTTTGAGGAACCATAAGAGCAAGGGGCCAAAGCAGCATTGGAGAGAAGAACTTAAGATATACTTACAGAGAAGGAACTGGGGCACAATGAGAGCAGACACTACCAGAAGACACCACCAGTAGACACTACCAGAAGAGGAAGGCTGGAACAAAACTGGCCAAGAAGGTCCCAGAAGGACATTAGCAAGGAGATAAAGAGTTTGGTGTACATCAGGACACTGGGGCAATCTGAAGGGAAAATCTTTGAGCAGCCATCCTCCTTCAGAGCCAGGATTATGTGTAACTGAAAAGATTCTGCTTTCCGAGTGCTTCAGCAAGTCCCTTCTGTTCTCCCTCCTTCCTCCCCTCATTACAGCGCTGTGAGTGCCCTGAATCACCATACTGCTGGATGAGGAGGTGGTTTATTCAACATCCACGTTCTGGCAAAAGATTTGTTTAGTTTTTAAGCAGGTCATGTATTTAATGTTTTGGTAGCTAACCAAGAATTGCTTTTTTGCAGTAAGCTGGCACTGGACACACACAGAATACTGGTGGAGGTTTTAAACTACTTGCTCATATGTGTGATAATGCTGATTTGAATGGACTATTCATGTTACAGATGTGGAAACTGATCAGTAATAATATAGAAGGCCAAATATTTATATATGCTTATATTCCTTAGCCAAATCATGTTGGGTGTATATATAGAGAGATACAATGAAAGTATACATGTTGACACATTTTCAGTGACATTTCTTGAGGGCATATCTGTCATCACTGTGTAAAGCAGAGTACACATGTGCCTAACCCACATGACTCTACATCCGTTTTAATCCAGAGTCAATTAATTTTCTTTATGTTGTTCCAACTTTGCTCCGTTGCTCTGTACATTTAGCTGGCTGATAGATACACACGCACCTTGTTATACTGCTAGTTGTAAACCAGATACAAGTACTTTACTTTGTGTGAACAGGTATGTCCCAGACTATACTCATTTTCAGGTGATGCTACAGCAATGTCATTCTTCCATGAGTACAAGGTGCCACCCTGTGAAATACATGCGAGGTTACTTATAGAAGCTAAAGAACAAGATGCTTTCACCATTGTCTTGAAAGCCTTTAGAGCCAACTTGTCATCTCATGTTAACTGAACAGGGTTTTCAGAAAGAAGAATCTGATTTTATTTGCATGCATATCTCAATACAAAGTACAGACTAACTTCTCTGAAGTTCTTCAAAGCATCTTCAAAACTGGGCCTCTAGTTTGTAAGAAGATATACATGTAAATAAAATCAGATTCAATTAACTTTTACATTTGCTTCTTTAACAGTAACATTGTTACTATTAAAACACTGTTACCCTTGGAGCAACAAGTATATACAAATGCTACCACTGTAATGCTTGATGGCTTTGTCAGAAAAATGCTTTACAAAGGAAGAAAAAGCCATTTTTCCAAAGTCCCACAATACAAAATTATGCAAAAGCTCAGCTAAATGGAGATGAACCAAAACACACTTTTTTCTCCCCCCTCCCCCCCCCCCAGTGAATGTATGATATCTTTATCTGATTCCAGGCAACAGTGTTACCTGCAATAGGATTTGTAGTATCAAATCAAGATCATACTACCTTTGGTTCTTTGCTCTTAACTCACTACTATCTTTCATAAGAAATTAATTATTCACCATAAAATTACTTTCACTACGAAAACATAAAGTCTGATGATTTCACAATTATCTGCCCTTGTAGGCTCTGCTACATCAGATATAGAAGTAATAGAGACATTTTAATAATCATTCTAATGTCATGTAGTCCCTCCAGTTTACACGTCAACGCCCCTAGATTGCTTATTCCCATATGTGAACTGTCAGTGTATCACTGGTACAGATCTGTTGCAACAGAACTGTTCACAATGTATCAGAACTGATCCAGAGAAAGCTCTGACCCTCTGTGAGGCATTACTTTCACTGCAGAGTGACCTTCAGTGGACATTCAGTCCCTGTCCTTCACCCCAGAGTCCTTGCAAATGCCATCTCCCTCTGACAGCACCCCTTTTGGACTCAGAGTGGCCATTGGGTCTCACAACTGCAATGTCCTACAGAAATCTTGATGAGGCACTGTGACTGCTAATAGTGCCTTGGGTCTAATTCAAGATCCCTAAGAAGGTTTGGGATCAGGGTACAACTGGAGAATCAGGTTTTTTGGTATCATAGGTCTGGACAGAGGCAGAGATGCATCCGAGCTGCACACCTGTTAAGCCATGCGATAGCTTTATATTGAGACATACCCTTGCAAACACCAGTAAAGCTTTTGGCTGATGTTTTCACTCTGTGTGATGCAGCTTATACCACCTTTCACAGCTGGTGTGTAAATAACATCTGAGAGTTTTCATCAGAAAACAAACAGTTATGAACAACATGTTTCTCAGGTAAAAGCTAAGATTGCAATGCAAGTAGAAGAAATTGAAAGTGACAAACTGTACTGACAGTTGACAAGTTCATCTCTCTAGACAACAAACTGTCACATGGGGGAAAAACGCCTTGAGCCACCAGCTATAACTAGGAAAGATGTGCCAAGAATTCAAGTGTACAAAACCATCAGTGACAGGCAGCACTGAAGAGACAAGTGCTGACAAGAATGCAGTTGTTTGAGTTTCTCTACAATAGTGAGAGCACCACAAAATAGACGGGGGTGGGGGGAGGGGACTGAACTTTTTAATTACTAGGGCTAGGTTGGCACGTGCTATTAATATTGCCTGCCTTGAAAATTAAGTTCTTGCAAGCCAGCTACTCAAGACTGGAATCAAGGTCGGTAAAGACAGAGAGCTGCATCAAACTGAACGTGGCAGCAGGATTCTCCTCCTTTAACTTGGGTCACTAACGCCCCCAGGAATATCTGTCGCGGGGATGAAGCTGTATGACAGAAGAGTGGGTCCTCCTTGCCTCTCAGACCTGTTACCTGCCCCTGCTACTTCCGAATAGCGAGCTCAACGGCCGGGAAGGGAGAGAGGTAAAGAGCAGCCGAGGCTTAAAGATCTCTAGAGCGCGAAGGGATGCTGCCACCTGGAGCACAGGGCCTGTCACTGGCGAGAAGCTGCCTCGCACCAAACTAAGCCTTCAAGCCTGCAGGGCCCATTCTCACCCGAGCTTCTGTTGCTGGCAGAGCTCCGAAAGTCCCATGGAGCACGCAGAGCGCTCCTGCCGAGGAGACGGCAATCCCTTTTCCAACCATTCCGCTCTTCTTCCGCTTTTCACATTTTAGAACTACGGAATCCGTTGTTTCACCAACAGCATTTCCAGCGCAGCAAGCCTACCACGCATGCGCAAAGCGCAGGGCCTGAGGGCAGCCGGCGGCGCCGCGACGGATGGCTCCCGCCCCTGCGGCCGGCGACAGCTGTCTGCCCCGGAGGAGGCCGCGCCGAGCGAGGCCCCCCAGGCTGTCCCTCGGACCGCTGCAGGGGGGCGGCTGGCAGCCCCGGCCCCGTCAGCCGTTAACGGCGGTTCCTGCCGCGAGGGATTCTGGGGATAGTAGTCGCCCCCTCCCCGCCGCGGGAGTACCGCCGCCCGCAGGGGGCGGGGGCTCCCACAATGCATCTCGCGGGGCAGCCGGGCCGCACCGCCCCCAGCCGCCGTCACGTGACCCTCGCGCCGAGACGAGCCCGCCGCTTCCCTGGGTTGGGGGGGACGGAGCCGGGGGGTCCGCGCGCCGCTCCGGGGGCGGGACCTCCCCACAGGTAGCGGGGGGCGGGGCTTGCGCGCCGGCGGCCGTTTAACGGGCGCTGGGGGGGTCGTGTCCGTGTCCCCGTCCCTCCTCTCGGGATGGCGGGCGGCGTCCCGGGTCTCCATGCTCATCAAACGGCGGTGCACAGTAGGGGCTGCCCGGGCTGTGACGGCGGGGAAGCGGCCCCCAGCGGGACAGCCATGGCGCTTGACGTCCCTGTGCCCGCAGGACGCCCTGCGCCGCCGTGGGGCGGTGAGTCACGGAGAGGCGTTTCCCCGGGAGGGGAGGTTGGTCGGTAGCACCCAGAAGCAGCGTATCGCCTGGCAGCAGCCTGGCGTGTGTCTCAGTGGGTAGCACCCAGCGGTAGCGTACATGTGAACAATAATAACTCGGCATTGGCTGAGTTTCGGCTAAGGCCGTTGTCGCTCCCTTTAGAGGGGGTTATTTGGCAAGGATGAATCACACCATCCTCATGCCACCATCGTTTCTTAGTATTTTGACTGGCGTGGACTTGAGTAGTCACGGTGTTTTCTAGCAATAATCCATGGGACGCAAAGCTTGCGATCGCTCTCAGGTACCTGTTGGCTGAAGCTGATTCAGATCTTAATTTCTGCCTGTCAGGCAGGCCTGGGCAGCTTCTCCCAAAAACCGGATTCTCTTGTTTGAATAAATGAGTGACTACTCATCTCTGAAGAAACTACAAAGCTGTATTTCCATGCACTGTGACCTGTTTTTTTCTCTTGCTTTTAGTGTAAATGCCAGTTTTAATGGATATTTCTTTTTTTTTTTTTTTTTTTTTTTTCCCCTTCTCTTTGGAGGACAAGAAATTAGTTTAGATGCAGTAAATGGGAAGAAATGGAGGAAAGGAAAATCAAGAGGAGGAGCCCCAAATCATCTACCAGTCACCCTGCTCAGGTTGCTAATTCCAAGAAGAACTCTGTGCCGGTCAGTAAAAGTACAGCCTTTTCAAATCCTGCACCACAGCCTGCAGTACAAAAAACAAAGTTAAAACGGTAAGCTTGGGAGCAGCTTGCAAGCTCGGTGGAGGTGAGAGCCAGGAAACTGCCAGTGCTTGGACTGTCTAAAGGCTTTTTAGACAGCCTGGGATGGAATGAAAAAAAGGGCTTCATTTTTGATGATGTCTTTTGTAGCAAAGCGATTTGTGTTTAATGAATTATAGCAGCTATTTTACAGCAAATGAAGGTGCTGGATACTCTTCTTGTAAGCTTTATAAAATGTTACACAATGCTGTAGACTCATACTGATAACAATTTACCTGAAGCGATGATAGCCTGATGTGACTGGTGAAAGACAAGAGTTGGGTGATCAAATATGGCAAATGTGGTCATCATGGGAGATAGCAGAGCCCTAGATGTACAGCTGTGAGGAACAAATAAAATATTACATGACTGCAAGGTTGGAACTGACAGTAGGGGAGGAAATGAAGGACATGAATTGAACAGGATGAGCTAGAAGTGGAATTTCAGTGTTTTTTTGTTTGGGGACCCATCAGTGGGGGCAGCGGTAGCTCCCAGGCTGGCCTTATGCAGAGGGAGGCATTCAGCTCTTCAGAAAGTACTGTTTTGGAGTAGTTTGTGTGTTATTGATGATACATCAGTTTGAGAATGTGTTTTATAATTTGCAGGAAAATTAACATTTCTTTGTTGTGGTAGATAACAGCGGCTAAATGAGTGAAGAGGGATTTGAAAGTGAAATGTTAGCTAGAGAGAAGCAGCTGAGTTTATTGACCTGTCACTATTGGCCGAAGATTCAGTACCGAACTGTCGTCATTAGCACAGATAATCTGTTTGCAGGATCCAGTACTGGCCTGATGAATAATGAGTTCCTGCAATGTAAAGTCTGTACATTATTTTTCAAGTAAAATGGGTTAAGATTTTGAGGAAAATAGTAATAAATACTAATGTGCTATAAATTGGTGGTTTCTGCAGCTGACTGTACAGTTTAGTTAAGTCTCAACAATATTCTGGAATGTACTAGAAATTAATTTCTTGTGGCCCACAATATTGGCTAGGGAAGAAAATGTCCTTTTAGCTTTAAGTTTTGAAAAAAGGACATTCATGCTCAACTGTTAAGTCAAACTTATCAAGCAGTGATAATAGACAATTTCTCGAACTTTCCAATCAGGAGTGGTAATTGACATAACAATGGGAGGATGAACTGCTGTTAACAATAGTGGAGTAGGAGTATTTAATTTTTCACTTCATCTGCAAGAATCTAATTTAATAAATTTTCCAGGAGCAGTAATATATTAAACTTCAGATACAGGTGGAAAAAATTGATGTTCTTTCTGGCATATAAACCTGTATGCTTCTGTTACATTTCAGATTCTCAGTGAAAGTGAAAGCATAAGTAATCTTTTTGTTTATATATATATTTTTTTTTTCAGTGTAATAAAAGAGAAAGCCAAACCTCCAGGAGGTGAAGCAAAAGGGGCACAGGCAGCACCGATCCAGCATTCTTTTCTCACAGATGTATCTGACGTGCAGGAGATGGAAAGGGGTCTTCTGAGTCTCCTGAATGACTTCCACTCTGGCAAACTTCAAGCATTTGGTAAGTGCATAAATTGTCTGTATATAATAGTTGTTTTTATAGCTATATGATGGTAACTTTTGCAAACAAATGTGCTGTATGGACAGACTGCCAGTTTGTCATATTGGACTCTGCCATATGAAATGAAGTTTAACATAACTAATAGATCTTAGTGCATTTTTACATTATAGACCTATCGTAAGGTTGGCTTTGAGAGATGATTCAAGCCCATTTCATTGTTCTTTCCAGCATAGCTTACCAAAGGCAGTACCTTGGCATATAGATTTAAGATACCAAATTTAAAGCCACTTATTGATGATAGAATAGGAATAATAAGAAGTAACTGTATTTAGCACCTGATTTTGCTTTATTAACACTTCAGACTATTGATAACAACTTTTATGGAATCCAATGCAAGTTGCATTTTACCCAGTTTACTCTCCTGTCTTGGCATCTTACTATTCTTACTACTAGACAGTTGATGGAGGTTTCAGAAAAAAATCTGCTTCCTTATTTTCCCTGTACTAAGTAGAAAGATGCATATGTGTTTTTGCAAGCACACTTATTTTACAAGAGAACCTGAAAAGTCTGTCTTATATAAAGCATCAGTTACAAGAAATAAACCCCCAAGATTAGTCAAAATTAGAAAGTTTATTGTGATCATATTTAAAGTTAAAAAACAGGGCCTTGCTAAATCAGAGAGACATTCAGGAATACAGAAAAAGAAAAAGTACATTCTAAGAAACGGTTAGTGTATTTGGTATTTATCATAAGTTCAGCACAACATAATACCAGACAAGATGACATAATCTTCAGTAGTGAAACAGGGAGGAAATCGTTAAGAAAGCAAATTAACTTGTAAATTTGATGTTTAAATTCCTCTTCTCTGATGTAAAAAGCTGCATCCTCACACCTTCGTTTCCTCTCTCAGGTTTCTTTATCTAAAGCTGTTGCTCATCCTTTTAGGAAATGAATGTTCCATAGAGCAGATGGAGCATGTGCGGAGTATGCAGGAGAAACTTGCTCGCCTCAATCTGGAGCTCTATGGGGAGCTGGAAGAACTCCCTGAAGATAAAAGGAAACTAGCCAGTGACTCCAACCTGGACAGGCTGCTGTCAGACGTAAGTATGGGGAAGGCAGAACACACGGAACTTTGCCCACAGCGCTCGGCTCAGGAAAATGCCACTGCTGGGTGGGCAGTGATTTACAGCTGAGGAGAACAGAGTTGTGTAATGAGCCAGGATATAAACCTTGCTGTCATCTTGGTTTTGAGAAAACATAGTACATCGTTTTAATTTTTATAGGCTGCTGCGTCTTTGGGTGAGTGGAGCAGTCTAGCTGTAAACTGTCAGAGGCTGTAGGCCTGCTTAGAGACTGGCCCTGTACCAGGGAACTACAACCACTTTCCCTGCGGTCCATCCTCCTACAGCTGGGGAAGATCACACATAACAAGGAATTTAGATCTGTGTATTCTACACTTTGTTTCTCCTTTCTCTAGTGTATTTCTATAAAAACCCAAACTGTTAACATTTCTCTACATTTCCTGAGACAGGCAGATTTAAACTTAATTTGGGACTTAGCTCTGTTGGTGTCAAATTCAGGGCAGGTTTGCTTTGCTTTCTGTAATAAAATCATACATTTCAGCACAAACTGTTAAGTGATATCCTTCATTGTTTTAATGTATTTATTTCATCATATCAGCACAACTGTTGCATTTTTTTGACTAAATGAAATGCCATTTCTGATACTTTTTACATTTATATTGCAGCTAGAAGAACTGAATTCATCTATGTATCCTTTTCCTTAAATGTCTGTTTTGTGTTATTATTAACTGTAATCAAATTACAGTATATTTCCCCAGTAACTGGTGTCTTTACAGGAGTCAAATTGCTTCAATAATATCCTTTATTTTAAATTAGTAGTGTAATACAGCATGGATTTTAGGTTCTTCCAACACACAAGTGACGAAATCTTACCACTTTTAATTGCAGGCTGTTTTCTGTACAGTGGTGTTTTTATCTGGTGTGTACCACTTCCAACAAGGTGGTGACAGTCAGTGGCAAAGCCCATCAGAAGCAGGGTCTTCCTGTGTGCATCCTGCTGAGACATTCTGGAACAAACGTACAAAGTAATATTCCTCCTGTAGTATTCACAAGTGTCCTGTCTCACTGATAAGTGAGTCCTATTACCTTTACCTTTTAGTTGGTTTTTTTTTTTTTTTTTTTAGAAATATGTGCCTCACTGATTTTACTGTGAATAGTGGACTGACCTAATTTTTTATTTCAAGGATTAGGCTAGGGCTGTGTCAAATACGTCAGCAGAGCTTTGGTAATTGAACAAATGTGTGCTCTTAGCCAGCCCAGAAGAAGACAAAGCTGAATGTCTTAGCTTATCTTGTACATCATGATTTTGATAAGCTAAGACCACAGTTGAGGAGTGTTGCATTCAGTTTAGCCTGTAGTCTGGTTATTTCTGATGATACACACGTTGTATGCACTGAGGCAGGTGGGACTCTGGTTTGGGACCTCAGGTATTGCACTGATATATATGTTCTCTGTGTCTGTGGAAAGGTGTTTAAGGCTTGGTCTCATATCACATTCCGCTTGTGTTCTTTATAATATTATCACATAATAGTGATAAAAATAATCTGCCATCTGGACTGGTGCCTACCAGTCACAGGGCTAAGTGTAGTTTCATGTAGCATGATCTTGTTTATACCTTATCTATATGTGAAAATGTTATTCCTTAATGGCTTGCTTCAGCCAAAAACTACATTTAGCAGATGCTCAAGATATTCCAAACAGTGCCACAGGCTGAAATAACAGCTTTGTCAATTAGGATTCTCCCAGAAGCTTTTCTTTCATTTTTCCTGACACTGGAATCTGGAACAATGGTGGTTTGGTGGGTTGTGTTTAGTGGTTGGTTTGTGTTCTTTGTTTTTTTTTTTTTTTTTTTTTTTTGTTTGTTTGTTTTTTTCACTTCACACAATGAAGACTCAAAGTGCAAATCCAAGTGTTTATTTTTGCACATTCCTCTGAGCACTGCATTATGTCAGGACTCAGTATCTAGAGTTTTAAGGTTACTGTGATGCTATGCTTTTTATTATTGCCTTAATAGAAAAATTGCAGAAACTTGCAAGTTTCTGCACTTCTGCTCAGTGTTGTTCATATGTTTGAAAATTATATATGTATATAAGTTCATTAGCATTCCTCCAGTTTTTATGAAGGTAGCAATGATGTTGCCTTTCTGATCAGTATGTAGACAATCTGCACAATATATCCGTAGTGTTTTGTGGATCATGTGTGTGTGATGCCACAGACTAATTTATTGTTAATAACGTAAAACATTTGAAATATATGACATTTGATTTAGACAAGCTGCTATCTGTTCAGCTGTGTTAAGAAGATATGAGTTCTTGCATGGTCTGAATGTTTGCAGAGTTTACTCTTTTGTTACCATGAATAATTATGTCACTAAATTAGAACTAGCAAGCATGCTATCAGTTCCACGTAAGTAGTGTGAAATTCTAAATTTGGGTAAACAGTTGTTCAATAAATCCAGTATATGCAGTTGTGTAGTCATTCCTATGTTATAAATAGTCTGGTATTAATTGGTATCATCTTCGTGTTCACAGAGAAAAATAATTCTGTATTTGTGTAAAATCAGGCTGGTTTTAGATCCAAAATTTATATCTTTGTCCACCAAACTGTGACTTTGTTTCTAGATTTAATTTATATTCAGTTTTTAGGTAAAACATTCAGATTCTATATTGTATATACCTACTGCACAAGGAATGGAATCTTCATCCTTCTACTTGAGAGTTACGCTTCCCTCTGCCTGGTGCTCAGCAGCGTGGGAGGAGATGGATGCTGCCCCAGCCCCAGGGTGGGGTTGAGGGTTCCCTCCACTCCAGCTCTGTGTGGAACCACGGGCACCCTCAAGCCCACGCTCTGCTGCTGGGGACAGAAGGATCAGTTAAACACCACCGTGGGCTCTGGCTACAAATTCAGCCTCAAACACCATTAGTCCCTGCCTCACCTATCAGGCAAAGCTCAACAACTAATGAACTAGTAGGGATCCCAGCTGGGCTTTTCCTTTAGGATGTTCTTTTTCTCTATGTGACTTATCTCCTCCATCATTGACATTCCCTAGGAGTTTTCTGTGCTGGTAAAAGTACCTCAAGGTCCCAGCCTGCTGCTGGGTATGTGCCTGTCATGTGAAATCCAAAGACAGCTTAGGAAAACTAGAATACAACATACACCTCACAAAATGAAGCCAAGGTGGCTGGGGTTTTCCCACGCTTTGACCAATAATTGGGCTATTAACAGTTTTCTGCTCAGTAAATTCTGTCAGCACTGTGGCGGTGTTTCTGTGCAGATATCTGAATATCAAGCAAAAAAGCAGCATGTTTTAGCTTCATGCCTCCATCTTATTGCTAGTGCAGTGGTGCATACTGGTCCCAAAACACACTTTTAACCAGTAGTTTTCATAGTTTAAGCTAATCTACAGTAGAATTATTTTTCCTTTTTGGGCTCTGTCATCTGACTCTGCTTAGGCTTATGACTTCAGACATTTCAAATAACTTACAAATGCGTGGTCTGTTGGATGTTTTGATCTCTAAGTTTCTTCAGCAATTTTTGCTAAAGTGTGTAAGGCATAGGTATAATTCAAGATAGTTTTCTCAAGCAGCTATTTAGAAGAATACAAGAATTGGCGCCTTTTTCTTCAACCACCTTAAGCCCACAGGCAATGACAAGTCACAAAGAACGCATTAATTGCAAATAATTAAGAAATTACAATTCTCTTATTTCCTCCTGGATACAAATTCCCGTCTTTTACACAATCCCTTAACGGCCTGTGCTCAGTATCTTTTGGATTCACACAAGAAAATTTTGTAGCAAGATCTTTGAGAGACTGAGCTTCTCTGTGTGGTAATAAACCAATCACATTTCTATGCTCTTGCTGGAAAAGAAAAAAACATTTGTGGACAGTCTTTTGTAATTATGAAGGTATATAAGTAGCTGAAGAAAATGAGCTAATTTTCTATTACCTTGTTTTCTGAAGAGTTGATTATGGAGATAAAAGTGTATTAACATTGAATGTTTCCTGGCCTAAGCTTACACTGATAAATGGATACAGTGTTTGAAAGATGCTCTTTCCTGTGTCCCTGATCTAGATTACCTCACTCCAAGAGACAGCTGTGGAACCTCAATGAACTAAAAAAGAAAATACAATTCAGGAAGAAAAGCTAATAGGAAAGGAAAGTATCTAAGAAAAGAGGATTTGAAAGAGATGGGAGTCAGTGGTATTAAATGAACTGCCTCTTTCTTCAAAAACAGCGAGACATAATTAAGGCAGACATCTTTTGTTTAGAAAATATACCGACCTCTAAAAATAAGTTTCAGCATAAATAGGTAAGGACTGATTTTTTTTTTTCCAGTAAGTTGATTAAAGTGTCAGATTTATACAGATTTACTTTTTTATTTCCCTTGCTGAGTTGTGTCTTGAAATTCTCATTTGTGTAAAGGAACAGAAACAACTTTATCAAGGCCTACAGGCCTGATTCTGTTATTGTTCAGCAGGTTGTGTTTTGAGGTACAAGGAACAAAGGCATAAGAGGAAAGTTAAAAACCCAAAACCTGGTTAAATTTAGGAGTTCAGTGGCACACTGGAGCCTTGTAAGCCACATACAACATACTGAGACTTGACAACTATGTCAGATTCTTCGTATTTTATATTGGATATTGACTGTTAATGGCTATTCAGTATCCCCATTAATCCAAATTCACTATGGTTACATTGCGATTCAAAGTATTTCACCTTTAACAGTGTATACAGGGATTCTGAAGCATCAGTGTGTGATGCTTGGCATTTTTCATATGCTTCAACTCCTGAAACATACACATTTTTAATTTTAGTTCTATTCATTACAAAAATTTAAAAGTGCTAACTCACTCTCCTCACCTTCCCAAAGCAGATAGAGAACTGAGCATGTATGTTTTTTTTTATTTCTTCAAACACAGATTAATGATTTTTACATCAGTTATAGTCTAATCTTTCACATCAAAATGAAGGAGATTACCCGCTTCCAATAAAAGGCAATAAAACCCATCTCTTGCCCTAGGATTGGTGTAGATGTGGGAATACTTCGTCCACATAAAGTCTCAAGCTTCTTATGGGAAATCAAAACTGTTTTCATGTGGATAACTTCCCCAACTCTTCCCTTCTATAAATACTAACTTCTGTAGGTGTAACAGGTGCTTTGAAGGCACTTTTTTTCTAGAAATGAATTTATCATAGGGAAGCTGAGCACAGAGCTCACTTCTTAAAAATGAAGAAGGCAGCCAAATTTGGCCTAGAGTATCCCAAAGCACATGAGGATGACAGCAGGCTTACTGTGTGTTAGGAGCTGTTTCTTCTAAATGCACCTAAATTTCATCACTCCTCATGCAATCAAATCTGGCACTTCATGTTAGATGTCACATACATGGATCAGGTCTGTCCGTATGCAAACACTGGGTTCTGAGTTCAGACTGTTACGGATTACTAACACAGAATGTGTTTTAGCCAGCAGTACTGGAAAATCATTCCTTTTTAATTATAAATAATTGAACTAACTGTCAGTGATCTATGCCTTGTGCATCTTGCTATCGTCATCACAGAACATGGGCTTTATCAGAGCCCTCTTCACTCACTATTAAAACCAGATGGAATATTTAATACGAATGAGCACGTACCAAACCCTCAGTTGACTGCCCAAAGATACATGCGGCATAAAACATACGATAGCTGGGACAAGACACCAGAGCAGACTCCACGTAACAACTGCATTGTAAATGGAGAGAAGATATTTTTGTTACATTTGCATCAATAAAGCATAACAATTTAAACACAGTTGTAGGCTCCATGTGGTTCACAGCGAGGAGCTGTGACAGGCTACCGATTGTTACAGTGAATGCAAACGACCTGCAGATCAGCTGGCATGTTTTAATATTGAGGTGCCAACCTAGAAAGACTTCACACTAGCATGTTTGCTTCTTTGCTCTTCAGATTGCGCTACCATTGCTATATCAAGGTTTTATAATTTCTTCTTAAAAGCTTGCAGGAAAAAAATGCTACAAATTACACCTTCAGCTTTGCTTTTGAAGAAAACAAAGGATATAACCTATCTTTTTTAATCTAGCAGCAGAGAAACTGATTATATCACTTTAAAAAAACCAATTCTCTAGTTGTTCAAACTACTGAAAATCAAACACATATATAACAGTATACAGCACAGAAGAAACAGCATCAAAAATGCAAGTATCTGTGCACACGTGATTTGGCTTTTGGTGCACAAACACCTTGATGGAGGAGCTCAACTCCTCTCCATCCTAATTAACTAGCTGACACGTCTTCTGCACCAGAAGTACTTGCAGCAGATGCGCTGTAAATTCAATGTCTTTAATTTAGTGGAAACCATGAGGGTTTTAGCCTAAGAATGTGACTGAAACTTGAAGTTTGCAGACTTGGTTTCTAAGGCAAGGCAATGTCTTTTAAGTTCCAGACTGGCCTGAAACAATTGTTCTCAGCAGCTCATGAAACCACCTCAGCAGATCTAATATAAACTTACAGCCACAGATTCAGAAAGACACACGAACAAAAAACAGTGGTCCCCTTGAAGCAGCCTAGCACTCAAGAGGTTGCTAGTCTAAAATGGAAAATTTGATAGCCATTTCTTAATTGTTGTCACAGACATTTGAAAACTGTAGCCCTTTGGGCTAAGTCTACCTTGAAAGAAGATGAAAGCGTGCCAAGCGTGGATTTGCAAGAAAAATTACCAGTAATTTGTACGTTACAAACATCAAAAGTGTCTTTTTGAACTCCCTGCTTCCCATATGACAACAACACTTGGAAAAGGCTTTCTCTGCCATCAAGCCCACTAAGACATGGTATAAAAATAAACAGAGTGGCTGAGCTGCCTACGTTTATAAATCTGCAATCCCACGTTATTAGGTAATGAAGTTGGGTTTTCTGCCAGAAAAGTTGTGTCTTCAACAGCAAATGAAAAACATGTTACAACAGAACACATTATTACTTCTGTAAACATATTTAGCCAAAGAACTGTTGGTGAGCTGATCAGGAGTCGAATCACCACTCCTAAAGCTCTCTTTGTGTAGGGTTCCAGAAATACTTTCAAGCCTCTGAAATTGTGCATGCTGGAAAAAAATCCAGCCTAGTAGGGCTGTAACCCTGCACATTAGGGCCCTACTAACTCTTCATTTTCTCCCTAATGGAAAAGCCTAACAAACAGTGGCAGGGTGTGACAGTAGGAGATTTTAAAGCATGAAATACGTTGGGCCTTGGAACTATACAATACTTGAGCATGAGCATCACACCTGTTTTGTATGAATATATGCTTAAGCTGGTAAGCATTGTTTTTACACAGAGTTTGAAAAATACTAAAAAGGTGGAACTTTAAAACAGCTTCCTCTCTAGCAGGACAATATCAAGGAAGTAATTTTTTGTCTCTACTCTCCAGCTCACTTCAGATTTAACTCTGCAAAACAAATGCTTTTTGCAACAGCAT